ACCATGGCCTCGACCACTGCCCGCGCGACCCAGTCTGTCATCAAGACGTGGTTCTCGGACCCGGCGACGTACCCGATCATCGCCATCATTACGTTTGCCACGAGCATGTCGACCTTTGCCGGTCTCCGGTACCTCTCCAACAGCCCGGACGTCACGTTCTCCAAGGAAAAGCGCGGCGCGATATTCCACCGGTCGAGCGACGAAGGCGCGTCGTTCCGGTCGCACCGCATCGACTTGGCCCATCTGAAACTCAACCCGATCACGCGCAACGAAGACTTTGTCGAGTTTCGCCAGCGCCACGCGTAGAGTGACGATCTTATGAGGCATTAAAATATACATATTTACTCACTTGTGGCATTTTCATACTTATTCGAGCTGAGCTTTGCCACTCAGGATCAGAAATGGAACACCAAGATGCACTCACAACGACATGCGTAGTTCGGTATGGTCGACCGCGTCAATACAAGGTCGCCGCCTCAATACTTCGCTAACTCCAAGTAGCCGCTATCGCGCTTAGGTTGTCGCCAAGACTCTCTCGAGCTCGCCACCGTCGACCTACTCCAAATATGCCTACAACTCCCATGATATGGATATTGGCCCGGACGAAAATGCGGCAGCTTGATGCTTCCTCACTCAAAGATTGCTTTGAGTTGAAGTTGGCGCTTCAAATAGGGTACCCCACCCCGTCCCTTCCTTTTTCATTAGATTCACACACACTATGCTATGAGTACCACCTGTTTTTGCGTTTCAAGGGGTCCTACCACACCCATGGCATCCACAAATCCGCCATTGCAGAAGAGCGACCGATGCACAGCGCCCGCGACTGCCTCCGGGGCGTGCTCTTGCTCGCCGTCGCCTTCCTCCTCGTCTTCACGTCCTACAATGCGATCGAGGTAACGTGTCTTGTAGCTTTGACAGCCGCTGTTAGCACGGCCTCATGCGATGCTGTAGAACCTCGAGACGTCGATATTGCCAGGTACTTGCTGTCGCCACACTACAACACTGTCTTCTATCGTATAGGCGCCTGTCTTGGCTGCGATGCGCATTCACCTTTGGTCGTGTGCCAGCGCGACAGCGTCTGCGTGGCCAAGGTGGAGTACGCGTGCGACGCAGCTTGCGCCGCTCCGTTTGTCGAATGCAAATGTACACCTCGGTCATCATGCGCCTCTAATCTGTGGCGTAGCGACGCTCGGCAGCACGACGCTTGGCGTGATCTACCTCTGCTTCATGCTGAGCTCAATGCTTGGGCCGCTGGTGCCACGTACTACAACAACGCTCGTCCTTGACACTTCACTCGGGATTTGCTTAGAAATGATCGGCGAAAAGGCGAGTCTTATTGGGAGCTCGGCATGCTAGTACGTACTTTTGCTGCTTGTTCCAATGCGCGACGCATGCAGCATCTCAAGGACGGTGTAGTGGCGTCTTTGCCGTCGCCAACATGGTGGTCGCCATGCACCCCGCCGCGACCGAGCTCCATCCTTGGATCTTATTACCGGCCTCGGCGCTCATTGGCCTCGCTGCGTCGGTGCTCTGGGTGTCCCAAGTACGCTTTCTTAAGGCGTCGTGTTGACACCACTGAGTTGCACTTGCAGGGAAGCTACCTGACCCGCCTCAGTGTTTGCTACGCACAGTTCAAGAACCTTCCTGACACGAGCTCCATGGGCTACATGAACGGTACCTCGTGTGTATTGCTACCTGATATGGTCACTTTAGATGAATAGGAACGTTCTCGGCCATTTACAAAGCGAGTCAGCTCACGGGCAACGTCCTCTCGTCCTTCATCCTTGGCACGCTGCAGTGGTACGGCATCTCTGCTGCAAAACTGTACTGCAGACCTGATAGGTCTTCGGCGACTCTCTTTACGACGTACGCTATGCTTTCGTTCGTCGGGACGGGATTGCTGTGCTTTCTGGAGCCACTGCAAAAGGTAGACCACTCCTTCGCTCGTAGATTGCCGTCAACTGCGTCATGTGTAGCTGCAACGACTGCCGACCGAGGGCTCCAAGCTCTTGCCGGGCGAAGAGCCTCCGCACTCGCCGCTGGCCTCGATGCGAGCTGTGTGGAATTTGGCGAGGGACCCGTGCGGTGTCTTTGGCTTGCGACAGAGCACTTATCCAAGGACGTAGGCGCATGGTCGTGTTTGCACCGCTCATGCTCTTCACCGGCATTCAGCAAGGCTTTACGTCGTCGGAATTTACATCGAGTTTTATCCGAGAGTCGCTCGGCGAAGCGTCGATTGGCTACGTCATGGCCGTCTTTGGCGGCATGAGTGTTGTTTTTTCGTACATTTTAGGGCGCGTCACCGACCGGTACAATGCGTTATAACTACACACTCGTTGATGACGCGCTGCCATGGGTAGAGTGGGGCCCATGTGGACGCAGCTGGTAGCGTGCGCGGCGCAGTTTACCGCGTATAGCATGTGCCTCTGGACGCCAATGACCAAGTGCGACGGCCAGTGGACGTTGATCCTCGTCTGCGCCGTCTTGCTGAGCCTTAGCGAAGCAGGTACGATGCGTCTTTTCTACAGGATCAAATCTATCATTCATATTCCTATCTAACGCAGCGTCGAGCACGATCCCAAGTGGTATGACCTCACGCCATGTCCAGTTCCTAGTCAACGTATGTCTCTGTATCTAGTGGTTTTGGGGCAAGAGTTTACGGCCAATGCACTCAACGCCTTCTCACTCTTCCGAGTGTATCATTCCGGCGCGGCGAGCCTCAGCTTTTTCGGCCTCCCCCTTCTCAGGTGACCGTCTTCCACGGTTTCACTCGGGCTAACTACTGCTTGAATGTAGTCTCACGGGGCGCCTCTACGTCCTCCTCGCTTCGACAGCGCTCGCCGCCGCGTCTATGGTCCTCTACGCCACGCGTTACCGCACCGTAGCCTAGGCGCGGGCTATGTGCGCTGGCACCTCCGATCACGATCGCAGACGCATGTTGGATAATCGAGCCTGTTTTTTTGGGCCAAGGAAGAGGGACACAGCCGTTATTACGTCGTGAAGTTAATCCCTACAACGGTTACCTATTTGCGACAACAGACAATATCTAAATTAGCTCAGTCCACGCCGCCTTCAGTCAGCAGAACGAGATTGCCATATCTTGTCCATCTGAGAAATTATAAAAAAATGCAAACGCACTACCTCCCATACACATTTCAAATGACCGTTACATATTTTATTGCATGTCAAAAGCCGAATACGGGACCCTCGAAATTGCCACCCGTTGAACCATGCGCACTGCCGCCGACTGCGTCCGCGGAGCGCTACTGCTCTCGGCCTCCTTCTTCCTCGTCTTTACATCGTACGTTGCGATCGAGGTACGGCATAACGATCTCAGTATCCACCCTCTCGCTGTGATCCTGATCCATGTGTCGTAGAATCTGGAGACCTCGATCATCCCAGGTCCACACACAGCCTCATGCAGGTGCTCATTCGCTATGTGTAGGCGCTTGCACGGGCTGCGCGCAGGTTGCAGACGGAGCGATCTGTCAGCTCGACGACGTCTGCGTCCATAAAGTCCAATTTGCTTGTGACGTGGCGTGCGCGGCGCCGTACAAAGAATGCAAATGTAAGACGCCTTTGCATCCCAAGTACGGGCAACGGATGTGGTGTAGCGGCGCTTGGCAACATGATTTTGGGCGTCAACTACCTTCTCTTTTCCATCAGTTCGCTCGCAGGACCCTTTGTGCCCTGTACGTCTTGCGTCCTATTCGATATGAAAGTTATAGAAGGAATTTTTGTAGCGCTTTTGGGCGAGAAGACGAGTATGGTGATTGGGTCCATCAGCTAGTACGTCGCGTCGACGTGCACAAAAGTTATATCTGAACGTTTAGCACTACGTTTGGCGTTGCCAACTTTGTCGTCGCCGTGTACCCAAGTCACACGGCGATGCACTGGTGGATCATGCTGCCCGCGGCGGTCTTTAGCGGCGTCTCGGCGTCGTTCCTCTGGATTGCGCAGGTAGCGTTGAGTTCAAATGAAATACAATATATCTTGACGGGCTACGTACTAGGGAAGCTACTTGACGCAACTCAGCGTGCACTACGCCGAGTACATGGGCCTTCCCGAGACAAGTTCCATGGGGCTCTTTCACGGTATGCGTAGCATGAGTCGTACGCAGGTCGAGTGGACACATTCTCTTTTAGGGATCTTTTTGGGGATTTTCAAGTGCAGTCAAATTGCCGGCAACCTCATCGCATCTTTTGTGCTCGGCACACTCGGCTGGTACACCTGTCTCCATACATGCAAAGGGGCAGTGACCTATCCTGTGCAGGTCGACATCGAGTCTCTTCCTGATTTATGTTGGCATTTCAACCTTGGGGACACTGTTGTTGTGGTGCTCGATTGAAGAGCAAGCCCCGGTATCGCATCGTTTACAGAAGGCTCTCTGCTATTCCCGTGTAAATTAGCTGTCGCCACTTTCGACACCAAGCGAAACCACGCGGCTCTTGCGCGAGCACCAAAAACACTCGGTCGTTGCCACCGTCCGCGCTGTGCTGAGCATGGCCCTCGACAAGTCGCACTCGCAGTCATTGTGTTGGAAAGCTGATCGTGTCCACTAGGCGCATGCTCACGCTGACACCACTTTTGCTCTTCAACGGCATCCAGCAAGGCTTTGTGTCGTCAGAGTTCACCTCGACAATCGTCCGCCAGTCGCTCGGGCAAGCGTCGATTGGCAACATCATGGCCGTCTTTGGCGTCGTCAACGTCGTCTCGTCCTACGGCTTTGGTCGACTCGCCGACAAGTGCGTCGACAGCGTGTTGCACATACCGCTAGTGCTGATAAATGGGCGCGTAGGCTGGGGACCTTGTATGCACAAATCTTTGGGTTCACTGCGCTTCTGGCTGCGTACGTGGTCTGCGTGGTGCTATCTGTCACGCGCTGCGATGATCAGTGGGCCATGATGGTCGGTCTCTCGGTCCTCCTCAGCATCGGTGACGCGTGTACGTAATTTTCTACGCTTGGCTCTACTCATGCTCATAACACTAGCGTCGACGACGTTGGCCAACGGTATTGCTTAGGGCTAGGTTGGGGCTAGGGTTGTGACGAAATCCGCGTAGTGGTGCTCGGACAAGACTTTGCGCACGACTCGCTGCGAGCGTTTTCTCTCTTCCGGTCGTACCACGCAGGCGCCGCGAGTCTCAGTTTCTTTTTCCTGCGCTACCTCAGGTACATGTCGAGTATTCTTTCAATGTATCAAGTCGTATGGTGCACTAGCTTGGACGGGCGTCTGTACCTCTTGATGACGACCCTCGTGCTGGGCATTGCCATGTTCGTTGTCCACCATCTCGGCTACGCGCCGCGTCAGTAGACGAATGACGTGGTTGACACTTAGTGCTGCAACTGTAACCTGGTTCATACAAACCTCGGTCCAGTCTTAATTTGCAAGCTATCACACGATTGTTCTTGATGTTGCGTGTACGTAGTGCCAAGGGCATGACATATCTTTGCTAGTACTTGGAAAATGCAATGAACGTCGGGTCTTCGAGCGGGTGGGTGGGCACGCGCGTAAAGCCGCGGAAGGAGCTCTTATCCAGTCGCATCTCCGAGAGCGCTTGGTACTGGATCAGCGCAAAGAACGGCAGGTAGCTACCACATATTGCCTCCGACAACTTTTCTTCTTGGCAACGGTGTACATGAGCTGCAGCGTCGGGACGGGCAAGAAGGCAAACTCGTTGACGATCGGCAGTGGGTTCAAGTCGAGCTTGCTACAGATATATATATATACATGAGCCACATAGCGCATTAGTACAACGATGTGCTTGCATTTCTTGGAGCTGAAAGAGCGGCAGTGGTGTGTCGACCCACACGCCAAGCGAGTTTTTGGCATAGCCTTGAAACATATCTGTCGTGACGGCTGTCAAGGAGTTGCCATGGAGAAATCTATGGCTCTTGATGTGTGCATGCTGCAGCTACGTCGTCAACGTACAGGTGCGTCGTGTTGACAGGAATGTACATGGGCACGGTCTGTGGCATTTTGAGAGCAGGAGACGCCAGCTACAGCGTGGTGGCGTACCGTGAGGTTCTGGAACTCACAATGCACGACGACACGCGTCGAGCCAAAGCAAAAGCACAATGTCGGGCAGCTCTGGACGCAGGCCGCGACCGCGAGCAGCACGAGCAGCCACGCCATTCGGGTTGCGATCTTGAGCCGACGCGAACGCGCATCGCTGATTGGCTACGTGCAGCCAATCAGTGTTTTTCCTGTTTTTAGCCAATGGCATCGACGCACGCAGCTTTCAACCCAACACACAACAACGATGGCCCCGCCCGTGACGTTCATGGAGACGGTCGAGCACCTCGGCGGCGGTCTCGCCATGGTCGGCGTGGTCCTTGCGCTCGCTGTCGCGTATGTGCTGCTCGTCAACTTTGCGCTGCCGCGTGGGCGCCTCGCGCAGGCCGAGCGTGTCAACAAGCTCCGTCGGTACGTCCTTGGCCCGCCCGGTGCGACGCCTCATAATGCTGTGTAGGGCCGCGAAAGACAAGCCACGCCGATATGTGGATTGATTGTGGCATAAATAGAAGAGTCTACAAGGTACCCAAGGTCTGCGATCTGGTCAGAACCGGTGCGCCGACTTGGGGCGCAGGTGGATGTGGGGCCGGGCGTCGCCAAGGCGTTCTATCGCGAGCATGCAATAAACCACGATCACAAGGGACACCTACGGATCTCGCTCACGGCGCCCTGCGGTTTTCGCACGGGCGCCTTGGTCGGCTTTGGCTTGACGAGCTCCTCGGCGTACATATGGTACGACGTGACTTCGCGATAGAGCGGTCCGTCCCCGCTAACGTCGCGCATGGGCTTGTGCCGCACGAGGTAGCCGCGAGCGGTCGCTTGGACTTTGGTGGCTGCTTGATGCAGCAAGTCGAGGGTCACGGACGCGTTGACGAGCCGCTCAATGGCGAGGGGTGCGACCACCACAGTGGCCGCGGGCGCCTCCACCAGCAGTGGCACGGGAATGTCTACGTCCAGCGTTGGCATACTCGACCCGAAGTTCCGTCCCACCTTTGAGGTTGTGCAATACGACCGAGTGGGCCCGTCGGCGGCGCGTGCGACTCGGTACCAGACTCGTCTTCTCGGCGGTTCGGAGACCCGACCAGAGAGGAGCCTTGACGTGCACGATGTGTGCCTCAAAGCCATTGTCACGCTACCGTCGTCGCCTGAGCGCCATTCGACCCCGTCGTGTGACGTACCAGCTCGAGCGACTTGCGCCGAATGCTGAGACGTCCGTTCGAGATGCGCTACATCGCATTGATCCATACATGGCGGATCGATTCGATGCACAGCGTACATGGACGTGCACCAAAGCGTGGGCTTGTCGAAGGCGACGACTCGCATCGTCGCCGTCTGCGTGCTGTGGTAGATGCGGCGGTCCGCTGCGCTGTTGCTGCTGCTGTTGCTGGTACAAGGCTATGTTCCGCTCCATGCGAAGCAAGGCGACGCGCTCCCGTGTCAAAATACCCCTACACTCGAATCTCCAACGCTTGAACTGGATATAGCGACGTACCGCACAAGAGCCTGAATACGAACAATCGAAATCGACTGCAGCGCCACGAGCTGCAGCGCCATTTGCCGTCGCACTACGTAGCCCCGAAACGCGGCCTACGTATGTCCCTCGTGAATGCATCTCGTTACAGTGACAGTGCCAACGCACCTGAATGACGATGGCAGAGACCAAGACGATTTCGTCCAGGCGCCGAGAGACGAGGTGGCCGTAGCCAACGCGCGCTAAGAACCGCTTGACGCATGCTTGAATCGTGGTCGCGGCGCTGGCCAAGCGGTCGCGCCGGTGCTTGGCTTCGCGCTTGCCTATCTTTGAATGAGCGATCTACTGCCGTAAAGAAGGGACCAACTCATGGCGTGTGCATGCACGTCCCGCCGCCATGTCGGAAGGCTGCTGCCCCCGTCGCTGAGCGTCGCGGACGGAGTGTGGACCAAGATGCGCTGCATGTCTTGAAGCTACAAAACGCATGTGACATAGCCGCGTCCTGTCCGCACAGCCTACGTCGCGTCGAATGGCGACCGTGACGTTCGTGCGTCGCTTGCGCTCGTAGCCGTTGAGCGGCCGCGGTCGGTGGCGGTACCCGCGAAAAATGGCTTGGATGCGGGTGCTCGCCCAGTGTTCGCGCGCCGCGCGGGTGTCGCGGTCGGCGGCGAGTTGCTCCAGGAAGGCGTCCCGCTCGTCCATAAGGATCTTGTTCATGCGTTTCCGGGGCACGGGCAGTGTCATGGGCGCGGCTGGCGGTGGCAATTTGAGCTTCTTCGTGCTCTGCTGCCGTGCGCCGAGCTCCTGGAGGCTCGTCTGGGGCACGAGCAGCTTCTCGACCGTGACCGTGGTTGCCAGCACATCTGCGCACGTGAGCCGGTTCTGGTTGAGGTAGATGACGTGGCTCTCTTCCAAGCCGCAGGTCGTTGGTGTATACACTGGCCCGTCCGCTGGCGACGCCTCCATGCTGCTGCAACGAGCAGTTGAAGGGGTTGCACGGGATTCAAAATAGTGTCCATAGGAAAAAAATAATTAGTGTTGAATTGGGATCGTTGACCGCGGTAGCCGTGGTGCTTTGACAGTATCCAGTCGAGCGTAGTCGCATGCTTGCGAGTGCACACTGTCAGTGCATACGTAGAATGCATGCTTACATGCTGGGCTTCCTCATGCACCGTATCACGGCAGCTGCATTTTATGCATACACTATTCAAGGAGTAGCAGGATCGCAACGGACCAATCAACACGGAGAGTTTGAAGCGGCGTCTCGGCTGCAATGAGTGCAGGACGTGCAAATGCGTGAACCACATTCCTGCTGCTTCAAGCAGCCAAGAGGCCCATTCAAAGCACTTAGCTGTCAAAGGACCTGCACGGGAGCTCTGCTTGGTGAGCTGGCTCGCGTTCACCTCGGTTGACCGACGATGCTCGCGGGCTCGTGCATGCCTCACATCGGGCTCAAGGATGACGCACGCATGGTGGCGCCACACTTCGTTCAAAGGAGTCTCATCGCAGCGTCGACACGACGTCATGTCGCGAGCTCCATTGAGTTTACATCGCATTGGCTGGTGCCTGCACCCACAGCTGCATGCTCTCCTGCACGCCGAGCTGATATCCCACAGGAACGTAGCACCACTGGCTGCTTCTGGCGCGGATCGCATGCGTCGCACGACTGATCGCAGTGCGGGCCGTCACCACCACCAATACACGCTCACCGGCTTCTTCAGTGCGCATGGGTGTATGGGCAGCTTTGAGCGGCAGTGAGACCGGTGCATCACCGCCGCAACAACGTATTTGAAATTAGCGCCGCGACGTAGCTCCCTTTGTGCACAGAGATCACGCGCTGGACAAGCAAACTCTCTTGTTGAAACTCCACAAGACGTCGGTCCCGCTCAATGCTACTAGGGTGCTCGACGACAGACTCGATTCTGTGCAATCGAATGCGAATCTTTATATATTATGTAATTATGAAGATACCGCGAAACATGTTTATATATATAGTGGAGGACCAAATTGCACAAGAGCGTACGAGCGATCATTTGGAGCCATTCCAACCAGCGCCGTGTGTTATGCATTTCACGGTCGCCCACATCGACCCACTCTCGGTCGAAAACTATTCAGTCCCGGCACTTGGCGTTTGTATCGTGCGCTACACGGCGTATTTTCACCGTGTTTTATTTATCTTAAGTGTCTCAAATAAGTGTTGTTTCTCGGTATGCTCTCAAGTGACACGACCCTCTCTCGCCGTCGCAGCACCAGCACTTGCAACCCCACAGCTCGGTGCACCAACGCACGTAGAGCACGCCTTGCACTCAAGCCTGGTTTGAAATATCTACGAGTCGTGGCATTTCGATATCTAGTCGACATTGTTCCGACAGGGTCACCAGCGCGACCAGTAAAATTGAGATATAGTCGACCTGGTCAAGGTCGCTGAGCTTTTCTCAAGTGGAGAAACCGAGGAGGTAGCGCCGAGAGCTAGCGCCGAGCTTACATGGGGCCATGGTGAGCAAGAGAGACCGTAGAGCATACCGGTGGGTGGCGCACGGCCAACGCAGAAATGAGACAGCTCTGAGAAAACGATGCAGGAAACTGTCGAATTACAGGTAATAGGCCCGCCATCTGGGCCATGTGCTACAAGCGCTTTTGCCACAGCAGTCGCCCAAGCCGCTGCGACGACCCGCGACCATGGGCTGCAACTCGAGCAAGCCCGAGAAGCCGATCACGATCGACGTCGACGAGCCGTTCCGGCCCATCGCGTCGCACGACAACCTGCAGAACGCCTTGACGCGCACCGGGGACGGGAAGCACCGCGCATCCACCGGGTCCTCGGCCGTGCCGTCGTCTGCCGCATCGGCCAGGTCGCAGGCAACCACCTCGCTCAACGGCGTCTACAACGCGCTTTTGCCTCTGCAAAGTCGGTACTGGATCGACCCGGACGACTGCGGCAGCTCGCGCAAGATCAAGTCGTCCTACATGCAAACTCACCTCGGGTACTACCAGGTACCGCCGCCTTGTCCTCGCCACAATTCGACTCGCGCACCGTGTAGGGCCACCCGACCGTCATCAAGTCGTTCATTGGCTACGACAAGCGCCCGGCCAACGTCGTCGACCACGAGCGCGGTAGACATCACCCTCGTCGGTTGTGCTCATGACGTCTGTAGAGGACCTCATCAAGGAGATCTGCTCGCTGGCCAAGCTCTCGCACCCCAACATCGTCGCCTTCCTTGGCTTTACGTACACGACGCCGGACGACCTGAAATGCGTCACGGAATTTATGGACGGCGGCAACCTCCGCAAGCTCCTCGACAACCCAAAGCGAGAGCTGACGTGGGCCACCGAGAAGCTCTCGATTGCGCTCGACGTGGCCATGGCGCTCGCCTACCTCCACGAGCTCAAGCCCAAGGTCCTCCACCGCAACATCAAGGCCGACAAGGTCCTTCTCTCATCGACGCTCGAGGCCAAGCTTTCAGGGTACGCACCTGTGCTTGTCGTCTTCCATGTATGACGCATGGCGTAGCTTTGGCTCGGCGCGCGAGTGGAGCTACATCCACACCATGACACAAAAGATCGGCACCGTCGAGTGGTCGGCGCCGGAATTGCTGCTGCATGAAGACTACAACGAGCGGGTCGACATTTACTCGTTTGGCGTACGTCCAATATCTTTATACTGTGATCGCATCGCGTATCTAGGTGCTGCTCACGGAGCTCGATACGCGCTTGCTGCCGTACGCCGACTACACGGAGACGACGAGCGTCCTCGTCACCAACATCATCACGGGCATCATGCGTCCGGCGGTCTCGCCGTCGTGTCCACGCCCGATCGCCAAGCTCATCCACGCGTGCCTCCAGCTCGACTCGAACCTGCGTCCATCGGCAGACGCGATCGTGCAGATCCTGCGCGAGCAACACCGCGTCATGTGCGAGCAAGCAGCCGTCGACTTAAGCAACAATCAACAGCACCGACCAAGCACCAAGAAGAAACACCGCGTGCAGCGCAGCCAAGTGTCGTCGGCGTCGCACCTCGACCACACTGGGTCCAACTCGGGCCACTCAAACCCAGGGCTTCTCGTCGGGAGCGGCGGCCTTCTGCAGCCGCAAGTGCCCGATCCCGATTTTATGCATCTGGTGCCGCTCCGCAACGACTACTGGATCCACCCCCAGTACATACTCTTACCGCAACGACGACTCAGTTCGTATTCTTCATAGGGACGTGGTCGTCTCGCGCAAACTGCCGTCCTCGTACATGTGTACGATGCTCGGGCACTTCCGCGGGGACCCGGTCGTCGTCAAGATGCTCAATACCGAAATGGACGCTGGCGCCATCGACACGGACCGCCGGTACCTCGTCCGCGAGATTTGCATCATGGCCAAGCTCAAGCACCCCAACATTGTCACCTTTTACGGCTTTGCGTATACGAACGCCGTCGACCTCAAGTGCATGACCGAGTTCATGGCCGGCGGGTGCGAAGCGTCGTACTGTCGAGGCTGCGGCTTGACGATGCGAACGTAGGACCTTGCGCGCGCTCTTGAACAAGCCCAAGCGCGAATTGACGTGGGACAACCACAAGCTCACGATCGCACTCGATGTGGCCAAGGCGCTCGCGTACCTCCACGGACACTCGCCGTGCTTACTGCACCGCAACATCAAGGCGAGCAAGGTGCTTCTGACGCCGGGTCTCGGTGCGTTGATGCGTCATGTGACGTCCGGACAGAGGCGTCATGCCAACCCGTGTAGGCGGGAAGCTCTCGGGGTTTGGGTATGCGCGCGCCTGGTCGTCACAGGACACACTGACGTCGGCCGTGGGCACGATGGAGTGGGCTGCGCCCGAGCTCCTTCGCAACGAAGATTACAGCTCGCCCGCCGACATTTATGCGTTTGGGGTAGCTTGTATCAACTCCGATGCAAATGCCGAATTTTGATGTAGGTGCTTCTGACGGAGCTCGACACGCGGCTTATCCCGTACGACGATTTGCGCAAAAGCGAGCCGACGAAGCGCTACATGACGGACGAGACGCTCATGATGAACGTCGTGACCGGCAAAGTCAAGCCGACCGTGTCGCCGTCGTGCCCGCGCTCGATACTCAAGCTCATCCACGCGTGTCTGCAGCTCAAGCCCAACGCCCGGCCGTCCAGCGACTCGATCGTTGCGATTCTCGAGCAAGAGCGGCTCATGCGCATGGGCCTATAAGGAAACCACGGGTGCTTGACCTGTAATACAGACTGCTATCCTCCTGCACACGTGGCGCCTTCAGCATCGCCTTTGCCGGCTCAGCCACATTGCACAATGCCCGCTATGACTAGAGGGGAACTCCCCAACTTCAAGTTGAAGTTGGTCGACACCACCAAGTAGGCTAAACATGTTGGTATCGTGTCCTTGCAGCCCTTTACAAGCTCTTGCGCGGAGGGCTGCAAGGGCACGCTGGCGCGTGCTACATGGTGTTGCTTGCTCACGATTGGCGATGCTTTGAGTAGTGGGGTTGTTGGGTCCATACATGGTGTATTCATGTTTCTATCACAAAAAATGCACGAAAGATTCTTCTCCAAGCGTCCGATTGGCAGTGAAGAACCGTACAATAATATGCTCTGGGACACTCTATATAACGTTTGTCCTAGAGTGCACAGACCACTCGTGTAAGCAAGGTGATGACTGCAAGGGTAGAGGACTGCGGCGTGACATGCGTCGGCTCAGACGCGCGCGAGAACGCGGCGCCGGCTGGTCTTGAAGTTTCATGACGTGGAGCTCGTGGCGTTGACGCGTCGGCGGATCGCGTGCTCGGATTGGCTGTAATTCTGACGTGGGGCGCCACGATTGGTGGATTCGTTGATGGGGTTTCAGATTCGCGGTAACGTAGAATTGTATACATCCGGATAAACGAAAAAACTAAATTGGGAGCGAGCCGGTTTCTCGGGGCGAATCTTTTCGCGTATCCGGAATTCCGTTGCGCCTACGAATTACGGTGCACCTTTTCGGAGCTTAAATTACATTTGCCGATGATCCACTCGCGGCGACTCGTGACAACGATCGCTGGCCTTGGCCTCGCGAGCGCGAGCGCATGGATGTACTCGGACGAGGACATGGCGCCTCTCGTCGTCGAGAGCCCGACGAAGAAGTCGAAGCGCAGCCGCAACAACAGCCTCAACGGGCCATGGGACGCCAAACGCCATGGCATCGAGCAGAGCTACTTCCGCAAGGTCGGCGACTACCTCGCGTCCGCGACCGTCCAAGCATCGACGGCGTATGTCTCCCTTGCAGGGCGTGGCAACCAGGCGCTCGACGTGGCCGACCGCGGACACCCGCAGCTCGACGCCAAGCAGTTGATTGCCAGCAGCAACTTTGATCTACTCCTCAACCTCGTCGCGAGCGATACCAACAACACAGTACACGACGACACGTACAAAGCAATCAACCGTGCGGCCGAGCGCAACGTCGAATGCGCGGCCGCGATCGCCGAGCGGGCGACGCGGTACGGCAAGCAGGCGCTCGTGCACCTCGCACGGCGCAACGACCTCGATGGACGCCTTGGCGACGCGCTCCGCGGACTGACCGTCCTCAACGGCAACGAATGTCGGTTCGGGCCTGCGAACCTCACATCACTCGTCGCACTCGTATGCGCCAGCGACCTCCCACCGTCCTACGCCGAGTTTGCGTGGTGGGCCCTCGCTGCTAGTGCGAGCGACCGCGCGCTCACGTCACGCTACCGGTGGCGCAAAGCGTGGTTTGGCGACGATCGCGTTGCTCGGACGCGGTCCGTCCTCATGAAGAACCCGTACATCTGGTCGGCGCTGCTCGCAACCGACGCCGCCAGCCCCGAAGTGCAGGTACCGATCTGACAATAAACTATTCCTCATTCAGATGCATAGCTCCAAGCCTCATCGCTCGTCAAAGAACTCGTCAAGTCCTCCACCATGACGACCTGCCTCGACGATGAGAAACTCGACTTGATCTGGGAGTGGTTTGTCACGGACGATGACGTACCGCTCAGCCTCAACGCCATCGAGACGCTTGCGGTCGTTGCATCGGACCCTGCGTGGCGCGCCAAGGTGCTCAGCCGCGGCTTCCTCGACCAGCTGCACCACAAGATGCACGGAACGAAGGACCCGCGCCTGGCCGCCGCGGTCCTCCGCGCTGTCCACGCAGTCGCGTTTCACCACGCGTCGTCGGACCTGGACGCCCACGCGCTCTCGCGCTTTGACGACGGCGTCAGCGTCCTCGACGACGATTGGCTCGGCGGCTCCGAAGCCGTCGACGAGCCCACGTATGTGGCCGGCTGGATCGACCTCTTCACCTCGTACCTTGGGCACGACGATGTTGACATTGCGCGCGAAGCTGTCCGGTGCCTCGAGGCTCTCTCGACCACAGGCAGCTACAAGAGCCAAGGGTACACCACTCTCGACACTGCGGGCCACAGCGCTCATGCCGACTAGGGTGCAAGAGTGGCTTATCGCTGTGCTCGACCAAGTCCTTCGCAATGTGCCCCATGAAGTCGCAACGCAGGCCAGCACGGTACGCGCGGCCCGGAGTCGGACGCGACCGCTCCAGAACGCGCCCCCGAACAAGCCAAATGAGTATCTGGACGCGCACACGCGGGCACTGCGCGCCCTTGCGTTCGTGATCGAACGGCCCGAGTGCCAAGGCGCGTTTGTCAAAGCCGGCGGCCTCTCGCTGCTGCACGCAATGGCGGCGTCGCTCGAGACGAACGGCCCGTCGACCGCCAAGTTTCAACTCGAGTGGGCCCGCGTCCTCGCCAACCTCGCGTCCAGTGCCAACATACATTGGCACGTCAAGAGCGAGCTCCAGCGCGGTGTGTGGACGTCGGCGCTCACGACGCTCGCACAGTCCTCCAACATCCAAGTCCAAATGCAAGCTCGGCGAGCCCTCCACAATCTCTCGATGGTCACCATGGTCCGTGACAAGCAGGATGCCAACGATGAGGACGAAGACGCAATCGAGCAAATGCCCCAAGAGAACGTGGTGTACCTCGAAGGCGTCCACCCGATGCTCGGTGCCCCGACCGAAGGGCCGCCGGCTGCATATGACGTCGACGTTGTCTTCATCCACGGCCTTCTTGGCTGTGCGTACGAGACGTGGATCGGCGGCGACAACATCCACGCGCCCGACGCGTCGACGCCCGTCTGGGCCAACGACTGGCTCGTCGCCGACCTCCGCGCCAAAGGGCTCTCGCCCCGAGTCGTGTCCCTTGGCTACGATTCCAAGATCTTTGCGTCCGAGTCCAACTTTGAGACGCTCTGTCTCGAAGATACGAGCCGCGATTTGCTCCAGAAGCTCCAGAAAGCCCAGGTGGGTACGTCCAATCGGCCGGTCGTGTTTGTGACGCACAGCTTGGGCGGCATCGTCCTCAAGAAGATGCTCAGTGACGCGCCGGACCACGACATGGCGTCCTTGCCCGAGGCGACGTCCGGCATGATGTTTTACTCGACGCCGCACCACGGGTCGCCGGTGGCCGTCGCCCTCCAGCGCATCAACGTCAAGAGCCTCAACCTCGCGCACCCGGTCGTCGCCGACCTCCACGGCACGCCGCGTCTCAAGCATCTCAACGAGTGGTGCGCGGCCTTTGCGGCCGAGAAGGGCGCCAACCTCCACGTGCTCAGCGTCGGCGAGACGCGCCCGATGAAGATCCCGATCGTCGGCGTCGAGGCCGTCGTTGTGCCCGAGGCGTCGTCCAACCCGGGCTTTGGCGAGTACGTACGGCTGGACGACGCCGACCACATTGACGTCTGCAAGCCCAAGTCCATCGACGACGTGCGGTATACGCTGGCCCGCGACTTCATCCTGCGGTCCGTCCCGCGTCCAAGCAACAACGACGACCATGGCGACGGCCACGACACTCATAACTTATAAATACAGACGCGTCATATTATCAGGAGGTGGTCTATGATGCGACGCGCGTGCGCTTCTTCCGGCCAGGCCCGCGGTAGTACCAGAGGCCGACGCTGACCCAGCACGGGCTTGTGCACACAGCGCCAAAGAGCAGAATCGGACTGCAGAGCACGAGAAAGCAGGCGATGGGGATGCCCATGCAGCACCCGCACGCGAGCAAGAGCATTTGCAGCAGCCAGAGGTGCCACTAGACAGGGTATAATGAGACCATTGGCGACACACCGAAGGACGCGGTACCTCTTTGAACCACTGCCAGCTCGGCGGCAAGCACTTGTCGAGGAACGACGCGACGTTGGCCATGACGGTGCGCGGCGACGACGGGCGCTCGGTCGGGATGTACGGGCAGGTCGTGTTGGACACAAAGAGGACGTGGTTCGCCGGCAAAATCTCGGGCTGGCTCAAGTGGAGACGCTGCACGAGCAGCGTCGGGTCGCAGTACGGCGTATTGAACGGCGTGAGCATGTACGGCGTGAGCGGGTTCTGCCATAGCACGTGAGATGCGTTGCGTGAGGACGGAGGAGGATGCGCCTACCACGTGCAGGGCATTGTTGATGTCTTGCGCCGCCTTGACCTTGGTTACGAGCATTCCGTCCCACTCGGTGGCCGCGCGCGTCGGCTCGTGGTGGCGGCCATCGGTCTCGGCCGGCGCGTCGCTCGACGGGCCCGACATGGAGGATCTCGGGCGTGGATCGGAAATGAACCTCAACTGGCCTCTCGGAAGGCCGGTTCGAAAAACGTTGCACTTGGTTTTTGTATGGTCTGGGCCGAAAAAGCGCAGAAACCAACTGAAATTGAATCCTGCACGTTTTTTGTGGAACAAGATGGCGAGTCGGGAATATGGCCTCGACGGGCTCGGGACGCTGCCGCTCCTCGAGCAAGTCCACCGGCTCCATCACGCCATCTCCATGGGGTACCCTTACCGCGAGGTATAGAATGATGGGTCGCAACGTAGCCTGCATCATCCTGGCAACGTAGACGCAGGCGTGGACGACCATGCCGATTGCCGACAAACGGCGCCTCTTGCAGTACATCAAGGAGAGCCGCCACGCCGCCGCTGTCAAGGCGCCGCCGCCGCTCACGCCCAAGGACGCGTCTGGCATCGCGGAAGACGACGATTACGACGATGAGAAACCGGCGCCGTCCGCGCCACCCACTGCCATCGACGACGGACTCGCGCCCATGGCGTCGCCGAGCAGCAGCGACGCGCCGCCCGACCCGACGAACGACATCTACTTGAACATGATTGAGACGCGCACGGCAACAGGCCGCCGGCGATGGACGATCCAAGAGGCCCCGGCGCCGGTCTGTCCATGCGGTGAGACGCATGCGGCCAAGACATCGTGCGTGGTGCTCAATGAAGTCAAGCTCATGATGACGACGTTTGGCGACAGCGATTATCCATGCGACGCGACGGCCACGTACATCCAAGCCAAAGGTATGCTTCTCCATTGTCCGCCATGGTCGATCCTCATATTTTGCAGTCAAAGCCAGCTTTCGCGCTGCGCTGGGTCCGCTCGAGCAAGTCGAGCTCATGGTAGTACTCGACTCCACAGCATGTCTTCATTGCGTGGCGCGTGTAGGGGCTCATTGAGCGCTTCCCGAACGAAGCCATGTACTATGGTCGATGGAAGGACTTTCGCTCGACGGCCAAGAACCCGGGCGATGACGCCAGCAGCAACGCAGCGGACGACACGATCACGGACGAGATGGTCGACGAGATGGACCTCATTGCGTCGTACGAAGACAAGGAGGCGCCGACGCTGGAAGTGTACTTTACGGTGCGTCCATGCTGGGGCAAGCGAGTGTCCTACGATCATATCCCAGGAGCGCATCAAGTTTGCCGACGTGCGCACCAAGACGATGGAGTCGACGTCATACCTCGAGTTCTCCAAGTACGACGCATCGTCGAGTGGTTGAATCGACTAACATCGACTAGGAAACGCACAACCAATTTCATGTCGCAGTCGGCGCCGTTCCTGACGTGGCTCGACGTGCCCAAGTGCTCGCGGGCGACGCTCGAGTTCCTCAATTTTATCATCTACAACCGGTGCGACTACCTCGTCCTCCTCTTGCTCTGCATCAACAACGTCTCATCTCGGTGTTAGCATTGGGCTCTTTGTGGAAGACGCGATCCGGGCCAAACACAATGGTCAGCTCGTCCGACTCGAGGCGCCGCTCCTGGTCGCCGACATCCAGTACGCACATATTCGACTTGTTGGGATAGGGATGCTATCATGGCGTAGGGCGGCGTCGATCACCACGCAGGCCAGCAGCGCCGCTTTGCCGTTCGCTGTTGCACCGCCGGCCAAGCGCAAGGCGGAGCCGACGCACTTGGTCTCGCCGCCGGCCGCGCGGCTCAAGCGCTTACGGTAGCCCTTGCAATGCGAATCAAATAGACGTTTTCGAGCTCGGGCGTCGCGCTGGCGAGCAGTGTCGCCTCGAGACGCCAGCGCGCCAAGTACGGCTGCAGCGTGTGGAGCACACTAGTTGGTATACGCTGAGCGGACGTTGGACATGCGCCGTTGTACCTTCGGAGCTGGTATGCCACGTACGCCACGCAGCACATGGGGTTGAGCGCGATGAGGCGAGCGATGGTGGCGACGGCGTCCTCAAAGTCTACGTAGCACAAGGCGTTGGACGTGGTGGTGGGACGGAATATGTACCGTCCGGCTCGTAAAAGCAGTCGGCGGCGAGAATCACGTCACAGGCCCAGTCGCGAGAGACCGGATCTCCCCATGCGAGCGTTGCCTAAAGGAATACTATGAGCAACGGCGACAACCCTGGAGTACCGTGTGGATGCAGGCCGGGTCGAGCTGGTTGAGCGCGATGGAGCGCGTCGCCGGCGCCAAGTCAGCCATGCACTTGTCGGTGAGTCGCACAGAGGCGGCGCCGAGCTTGGCAGCCAAAAGCCCTGGCAAGGCAGTGCCAGCGCCAAGCTCGACAACCGCCTTGGACGCAACAAGCTGCGGCTGCTGCGCAAGGAAGGTCGCGAGCGCGATGGCACACGGCCAGACGTAGCAGCCGAGATCGAGGTCCGTGGCGGCTGTAGCCGACGCGCCGAGCTCCTGCGACTGGGTCGAGACACACTATTTCCACCGGGACCACGCACCTCCTGCACCAAGACGCGGGTCTGCGCGAACGCGAACGTCTTGACGTCCGTCGGCATGCAACCAAAGTATTTGCACGGAAATAGTGTACATCTACAGCAATCACTCAGACCACTCAGCTCATTGCGAATTTCAACTTTAGTTGTCATTCAATCCTTCTCTTGGATTCGAAAAGTAAGACAAGAAAAATGACCCAAGAAATATCAATATTGTAATCAATATTTGGGAGGCTCTTAGTGG